AACCACCTGGCCATGCCGGGCCTTCAGTATGTGTCTTCTTATATTTTTGAAAGCACGTTTTTGATTTTCTAATGGACACATTTTTTATGTTTTCAATTGACATATACCTATCTTTCCCGTACAAGTTTTTATCTTAAACTTACTCCTAAGAAATATTTGGTTGCTCAGAAGTTTTATTTGCTAAATATATGAAACCTAGGAGATTTCGTATCTTCTGAAGTATGACAGACTCATCAATAATTTAATTCCAAAACACAAACGTTTGAAGCGAAATAAATTAGTCCGCCTGCTGGATTATGAATGGCCGACATTACCCGTGAATCGAGTGCAAATTTAAATTAGCTTTTTTGTTATTTAAATACACGAAACTCTCAAGCGTATGTTGTAAAGTTTTAAACCTCCAAGGATTTATTAAACTTGTCGATAAAATAGTTGCTATTATATGGTGTGCACGATAATGTAATATTATGTACCTCTCCCATGACACAAATTGCTGATTTTAAGTTCAAATGGGCTAATATAAATAAGAACGAGTTTCGTTGTCTAGTTTTATTGTTGAATTTTAACTGTAACGTTAATAGCCCGTATATATATATTTGTATATATATATAAACTTGGATATTACCCCAAAGTTTATACATATACATTCATTATAACTACTGATATTTAATTATGATATACTGTGTAATATACGTCACGTAAATATATGTCTACGATTAAAAGAGACGAAGCCTCCGTGAAATGCGGAAAACCCCCCTCATAAGTAGTGAAACTTGTTGTCCGTGCGCACTGTCAGAAGCTTATCGCTGCTAAACCGAACTACCGATCGTTAACACAGTAACGGAAGAAACGTCTGTCTTTCACACTAATTGTTAAATTATTTCCTGCCATTTTAGCTACTCACTGCCTTTGCTTTCTTTACTCCTCTTTCTGATATCTCATTTTCTCTGATTTCAAGACAGCTTACCTGAGTCCACCTAATATGAGAGCTTACCTGAGTCTAATTATAATGACAGCTTACCTAAGTCTACCTATAATGACAGCTTACCTAAGTCTAACTGTAATGACAGCTTACCTAAGTCTACGTATAATGACAGCTTACCTAAGTCCACCTAATATGAGAGCTTACCTGAGTCTAATTATAATGACAGCTTACCTAAGTCTAACTGTAATGACAGCTTACCTAAGTCTAACTGTAATGACAGCTTACCTAAGTCTACGTATAATGATAGCTTACCTAAGTCTACCTAATATGACAGCTTACCTGAGTCTAATTATAATGACAGCTTATCTAAGTTTACCTATAATGACAGCTTACCTGAGTCTAATTATAATGACAGCTTACCTAAGTCTACCTATAATGACAGCTTACCTAAGTCTAATTATAATGACAGCTTATCTAAGTCTACCTATAATGACAGCTTACCTGAGTCTAATTATAATGACAGCTTACCTAAGTCCACCTAATATGACAGCTTACCTGAGTCTAATTATAATGACAGCTTATCTAAGTCTACCTATAATGACAGCTTACCGGAGTCTAATTATAATGACAGCTTACCTAAGTCTACCTATATTGATAGCTTACCTAAGTCTACCTAATATGACAGCTTACCTGAGTCTCATTATAATGACAGCTTACCTAAGTCTACCTATAATGACAGCTTACCTAAGTCTAACTGTAATGACAGCTTACCTTAGTCTACCTATAATGATAGCTTACCTAAGTCTACCTAATATGACAGCTTACCTAAGTCTACCTAATATGACAGCTTACCTAAGTCTACCTAATATGACAGCTTACCTGAGTTTAATTATAATGACAGCTTACCTAAGTCTACCTATAATGATAGCTTACCTAAGTCTAACTATAATGACAGCTTACCTAAGAGTAGCTATAATGACAACTTACCTAAGTCTACCTATAATGATAGCTTACCTAAGCCTAACTATAATGACAGCTTACCTAAGAGTAGCTATAATGACAACTTACCTAAGTCTACCTATAATAATCTTTAGTTAATTTCTTTTCTCTGTGTTCATTTAATTGACATCAACTGAAAACAATGAATTGTCTTTTAATATATAAAACTAGAAATATTTTATATTTCTACAAATCCTAGTTGCTTCGTTCTTATGTCGAATGCAACAAGTAAAAGAGAAGTGATCTGAGAATATTGTAAATTCTGAAGGTTGTCTGAATTATTTTTGTATTCGCTACGGCCGCTGTTCTCTCTAGTGACTTTGAATAATAAATACAATCTCTATTAGTTCCTAATACTTCCAAATAAGATATGTCCTGACCAACTATGAAAGAAGAAAGATTTCTTACGTAGGATCTTTTACACAGGTGTTGAAATATTATATTAAAACAGTGAAGTTAAAGAAAATCAGTGAGATAGTTTTAACTCGGAGAAAGAAATAAGAAACGTGATTGAATCCGTGGATTTTCTACTTGAAGTCAATGTTTTCCAAACTGGCTTACTTAAAGCGTTCTTTCGTAAAATTATATGTATTTCAAGCTACAAAAATCGTTCTACGCGCCATAAAAGCATTACAAATCGAAGTCTTAACATATAAGTACGATCCATAAAATTAAAACCTCAGTTTTACTTAGAACTCTTCTTATAACTTGCATTATAATCGCACAATTCAATGTGGATTATTGATATTTCCTCTCGCCTTACTGAATCACCTTGTTGAATCATAGACTTCCACATTCAAGTTATTTTTCCTTGTTTAATTGTAACATCCCTTTCTCAATGGATAGTTTCGAACAAATTAATTTAGGTTTATTGTATTATCATAATTTAATCTCCTAATTTGAGATTTCATAATTCTGATGGACATTCGGAAATCACCGTATAGCTTAAATCTAACAGTAACCAATACTTGTCTTACAACATCTTGTTTTAATCGTCATATTATCATTTGAATCTTATTATTTAAGAGAGAGAGAGCTGTCCATATTAACTCAACTCCTCGTTTATCACTAACCTCTGAATGTCAATATCCTTCTCTTTCCAGAGTATCAATAAACGTAAGTTCCCGACATTTATAAAATCAAAACATTTTCTTAAACCAAAATTTGTTTATAAGCTGCTCCTAAAGAAATTTCCGACTAAAATTTGCATTTCTTACCTCATCGTTCATCTTAGATAAAATAAAACACAATTGATCACCACAACTAAGTGACATTAAAAACATCTGACCTTTAGACAGAAGGTCATTTCACTACCAAGAGGTCGTAGCAAAAATCTTTGATTTGGAATCATATGCACGTAGGCCAAGCGGCCAGGTCAGAGATCCCTAGGTTTCATGTATAGCTGTCCCTAAATTTAAAGTACAAATCATAGGGAGAACAGCTATCTAGGACCACCAACTGCCACAATAACAATGGGATTGACTGTCACTTTTATAATATTCTCACAGATGACATTGCGGAGCATGCCTAGTAGCACCACATCTTACATCTTGGACCCTTTGGACCACAGCTCAGCACGCTGTCCACTAGGCCATACCCTACCCCATGAATTCTGAATTTGTTACCTAACATCGAAAATCTGGTTTAGATACCTGCGGTGGGCAGAGCAAAGATAGCCCTTTGTGTAATTTTTGTACTTAACAACAAACCAACAAACACGAATAACAAATCTTGCATGGTTATAACTTTCATCGACAATGACTTGGTGTTGTAAAATTTTAGTGTTCTTTACTTCGGCATTGACTTGCGGTTCTAAATTTTTTGGTTGTTGCTAATTTTATAATAATCACATCTGTTTTTATTATTAAGTTTTTCACGATGGTGGTATTTGAGGTACTTTTCTGACATAGCCTTATAGACGAAACTTCATGAATAAAAAAAATCTTCCTTTACTAGAAGAGTCGTGATATATCTGATTTTATCTTATCCTTCAGTACACATTACATCATTTTTAAAAAGAGAGTGACGTTCGTGAGGTAAAGGTTGATATTCATTGTTCAATTTATTAAGTTTAGATAAAGCATAAGGCTCATATTGAACTATTGAATGAAATGTTTGGGTGATCGGAGATCGATACATCATAATCTCCAATTAAACCTGACTGACTGCAAAGCCTAAACTCTCACTGAAACCGTAAGAAGACGAAATACCAATATTCGAATTATTAAGCATATTTTAGCCTAAACCCTTAATGAGACTATAAAACAAAACGCTGAAGTGATTTAGCAATAGTAAAGCATAACTTCTCACTAAAGCTGTAAAACTAAATACCAGTAAATAAAATTCAAATATTTACTTAAGTAAAATAATCGTAATTACTCATTTTGCTTATACACTTCATATACACACACTCAAGTAACGCTGCAGTTACAATTATTAACATCTTCTTAAAAGGATGTCATAGCCACATAGAATAACTTGGAATTGGCTTACAATCATATCTTTATATCGAGTCTCTTTGCACTCTTATGATGACATAATGATGCTACAGTGCAATCTTGACACTAAGGTTGTTTTAACATTTAGCTATTGCTTAGCCAAACTACACAGTAAAACTGAAGTTTAGTTGTTGAAAAACTGTCAATGTGCTTGTCCAAAAGATGCTAATAAACTAGCGTAGGTAAGGATTATGGCCAACGTTTACTTAATTAATGTGCAAAACATTGATCTTGGCTTAGAGCCAAGCATAATGTTAACATGCTTTGTATAACTTTCTCCGAAATATAAGGAAACACTTGGTAACCCTAAGTGTATATATATTTTTCGCTATTCAATAGAAACTTGAAAACCAGATCACTAACTTTTTCTAAATAACAAAACAGACTATTCATTGGAAATAGCTTATTTTGTATGCCCTTATCAGGAAGAAGTAAACAGTTTAATACGTTTGCGTGCAGGTGTAAAGGTTTACGTTAATCAGAATCTTAAACTCAGAAAGGTTGCGTTTTGAAGCCATTCTTCCACTTCAAATTGAACCTCTTACTATGTTATTCACATATTCTAAAGGGCTTTCTAAGCAAGCATTGGAGTCAACCATTGTGGGGTTGTTTAGTACACGAATACATGCTAATAGTTATTTATTATCCAACTATATTAAGAGATTAAACCACATCACATTTCCTTGTGTTATATTTATTTTGAAGTTGGTGGACAGAGTACATTGTTTTAAACGAAACCTCCTGTCACGCTCTTTTAACTCCATTTTCGTGTTAGTGCGAGCAACATATTTTCTTAGTTGTAAAAATAAGTGTTCTAGAGTATAAGCTAAGTGATATAAATGGTCTCATGTCAGAACAATTTCTAAATATCTACTTGAAATAAAGATATTTTTTTAAACATGAAAAAATGCGTTTAGTAACAGCCTCTACGATCTTTGTTTGTTTGTTTGTTTTGAATTTCGCGCAAAGCTACACTAGGGCTATCTGCGCTAGCCGTCCCTAATTTAGCAGTGTAAGACTAGAGGGAAGGCGACTAGTCATCACCACCCACCGACAACTCTTGGGCTACTCTTTTACCAACGAATAGTGGGATTGACCGTCACATTATAACGCCCCCACGGCTGAAAGGGCGAGCATGTTTGTGGGACGGGGATTCGAACCCGCGACCCGCAGATTACGAATCGAGTGCCCTAACCACCTGGCCATGCCGGGCGCGCGATCTTTGTGAATAGGAGCTTTCACGATTTCAAACACGTGTAGTCAGTCATAAAATAATTTGTTTTAACAAAGATAGAAATGAAAAACACTGAAAAAAAAAGTTCTGTTAACAGGATATTGTTTTAGGTGGCTTTACTCGTAGTAATTACGTAATTGCTCACACGACTTTTAAGTCCCGCCCACTCGTAATGGAAGTCTGAACATAGTCAGCAAAACGTATAAATACGTCGTCTTTCCAATCTCAAGGCGTTAGATTCTTCTCTTCTAGCCAACGAATTTTGCCAACAGTCAATTTAAATAATATTACATGAATAAAAGTTAACTTAACATGAAGTTTGTATGTCTTGTTCGAATGTAGTTTTCTCAATATCTAGCTCAAATGGTTTATTAATTTTGATACAATAGATATATTCAATCAGTGATTATTTCAACGTTATATATGCGCAGACTTCAAATGATGATAAAATTTAAAACATCAGTGCAGACACACGTCTTTCAACTCGGCGTGTATGCTAATATATAATAACGAATAGCACCTTACTTCAGCAAGAACCTCTACATGTAAGCCGTTGATTAACTCAGACAAACAATAGAGCGTATGGACAAACAATAGAGTGTATGAAGGGTTACACTTGCATGATTTATTGGCCATTATTAATGTATGTAGCATTGTATGTGTTATCATACATCCGACTTTGTACATCTGTACTAAATGTGGTCGTATAATTGGTAGTTCCACCTTACCTTTGAATAGTTTAAAAGCACACGACTTAAAACTGTAAAATTTATTTACTGAAAAATCCGAACCACCTAGTTAGTTTTTCATCATCCCATCATCAAAACATCAACTCATTTTTATTATAATTCTCCAATCTTCTATTAGTTCATTCTTTGACAATGCAAAATATTAAAGTTTTCTTTTTCAGAATAATAAGAACCATTTTTAATTAACAATTCATGAAATCAAACCTTTTGTCATCAAGAATAATATATCTATATTTCAGGTTTATTAATTTTTTTTCCTCAAAATTATTATTATTTTCTATTATGACTGACTGTGTTTGCTATGTATTCAACTATGTTGGTAAATCATTGGTAGTGACAGTAAAAGTGAATATAGAAAATATTAATTTCCACCTTTCTACAAAACTATAGAAATTAATCTGAACGTCAAAGAAAAAAAAAAGCACAGCCATTTATTAAACGCTGTTTACATTACGCATAGCTTAAAGGCATGTTTTAGTTTAAAAACAAACTTCCAGTTTTGTGTTACGGTCAGCAAATATAAAATTGTAAATTTTTTTCAAAAGAAGGTACTTATAATTAAAAACCAATAATCTTGGTGGCGAGTGTTTTAAATCATATCAAAGCAATAATGCTACC